GCCTGCGGGTGGCCGTGCAGTGCGTGGCCTTGCCGTGGCAGGAGGAGCTGTGCCTCCGGTTCATGAAGGAGGTGGAGACCCTCAGCCGTGAGAAGAAAGCGGCATAGCTCCTCCACAATCCCACGCCTGCAGGGCCAGGGACAAGGCGAAAGGGACAGCGCTGCACGACGCCTCTTTTGCAATCGGAAGCACAAAGAATTACAGCGAGGAGGGAAGGAGGAAGGAAAAGCCATTTCCCAACCCTCTTCCTTGCCAAGAAGCACAGATCCTGTAAGGAACCAAGACGCCACGCAGAGGGCAGGACCGGCTTAAGCTGTGTTCAAATGATGATAAATCTATGAACTGCACCTTCCTGGAAGGATGGACACGGATGGGGTTTCACCCTCGTTTTCACGTATGCTGCTTCTTACAGAAGCAGGGTGATGCTGAGAGAAAAGGAGTACAAAAACTCAACAGCATTTTCTTGCTGGCACTGGAGTGACTTCGTATGGATGCAACTATGGGCTGCCCTGTAAGGAATACAGCCATGTCTACTCCCCCCAACACTGTATTTTGCTCACAAAAATAAAAATATAGCAATTAAGCAACCCTTATCATAAACTCCAGTAATCCTTCACTGATGGCCATGACTGTATGAATGCACAGGTATTACTCAAAATCGTACAAACACCTTCCCACTGCACATTAAATGGCATCTACCATGGGAGTGTTCACATCTTCCCCCTCAATCACAGCTTTCCTGTCCGTGAGGGACGGGAACAGTCACTGGCCTTTCCACAGCACCAAGCTTGTTCCACCACCAGATCTGGAGCATCCCAAGCAGATTTCCAACCTCACAGCAGGGGGCATTCTTAGGAACCTCTTATTTCAGGACCTCAGGCTGCTCTTTCTGAAGGTAAGAGATAAGCAGAGACAGATGCAACTCAGTTACGCAGATGGTGAGATCTGGGACAGAAAGGCTGAAATTCCCAGATGGTGTTTATTAACCCAAACCTACAAACCTGTAGGATCAAAGCAGTCAGACAGGAGGGAGAGAGCAGCATCCACACAGGGCCATTTACCCTGTCCTGAGATGGATGAATAAATGGCTCCCTCTGATAAGACCTCTCTCTCTTCCCTAGATTAAACACATCAGTCTCAGATAAATATTCAGGAGACTCACAGCAAGTCTTTCTCATTTATTCTCTATGTCTGTAATAAAAAAGCAGACTTCCTTTGGGACATTTGAAAAAAAAAAAAAAAAAAAAAAAAGCAGTTTTGCTTTCCCTGGCAATTTGAGGTATTTCCTACGAGCCAGCAGGTATAGCCTGTCACCCCTTCTACATCCGACGTAATTTGCAGAAATACATAGGTCCAAAGTTGGCTGTGAGGTGAGGCAGAACAAGCTCCCCCAGCCGGCAATCCGAGAAGAAGGAAAACGTGTCCTGGAAGAGAGTCCTGAAGTGGCTCAAGTCCTCGACGTGGATGCCGATGTTATACTGGGTTTCTGCAACTTCTACCGCTCTCTCGATCACGTACTCATTCTGCAGCGGGGAGAGGGAACACGTAGAATACACCACCTCTCCTCCCGGCTTGGTAGCGAGGATCCCAGCCCTGCAGGCAAGATGAACACACACCCCCTCAGGGGAAGAAGAGGACTGTGTGGGACACCAGCATTCCCACCCACCGAAACTGGGAAGCCAGCACGCAACTCATAGGAGGAGAGAAACAAATCTCCTTGACCTCCACAGGCTCAGTAGCCTCACTGTGTCACTGCAACTTGAGGACTGTTTTAGACCAGGGCAATACGGGTCAAATAAATGCTTAGATTGATAAAGTACTTAACATAGGAGAGATGCTACTGGAGAGCAGCTGGAAGGAGTAATCCTGCCCTCACCTCCGAGGGAATGGCATAAAAGCACGTACAGGGGAAGAGGTTCTTGCAGTTCAAGCGCTACCATGGGACTCTCTGATCTGTTTCCTTATTGCCCCAGCCCGCAGACAGCCCATCCAGCCTTCCCAGAGAAATGGGGTGATGAAGCGTCCCCACGTCCTCCCATGCGCTGGGAGATGCGGACACTCAGGAGGGCCCCAAGGCTGACTGCTGGGACCTGGGAGACAATCACACGGAAGCACAACCCTATACCCATCCTATTCCTGAGACCCTCCTCCCCACCTCCTGTGGCTACTGCTGGGGACAGGAAGGACATTTGATGGAACCGAGAACAGTTGCACCTTCTTACACTTATGATTTCAAGTGTTCAACTATTGCCGTTCCAGAAAAGTACACATGGTATCCACATTTCCCAGTTGGGGACACATGAAGTAAGATGAGATGTGCTCTGGGCAATCCTGCTTTAGCAGGGGAGTTGGACTAGATGATCTCTAGAGGTCCCTTCCAACTCTGAAAATTCTGTGATTCTGTGTGATTCTGTGATTTCAGCACTGGCCGTGGAGAGCCGTTACCGTAACACGAATAGCACCAGAACAGCAGCATCAAGCTCACTCACATCAGCAGCTGCAGCTGCAGCATGGGCAACATCTGACGCTCCTTGGTTCTTCTCTTGTGGAAGATGTTGTTGTCCTGCTCCATGACAGAGTGCCTGTCCGTCGTGCAGGGCACATCCACCAGCACCTGCAGCAACAGAGGTCCTGCGTCAGTCCTGAGCCCAGGCCGAGCCCAGCAAGTCCCCAGGTGCCACCTGTCCCTTGCCCAACTCCTCCAGCCCTGCCACGCCACCGGTGTGGTGGTGGTACCTTGTACCACCAAGGTACCTTCCCTGGCTGATGCTGCCAGAG